AAAAAGGAGCCGTTTTCTCATTTTTCTACTTTCAATATTAAATCAAAAAACGAATGATCGAATGATACACGGATTGAGCAGGAACAGGAGGAAAACCAAATAAGGGCAAGGAAGGCACATGGGGAGCAAAACACACACAAAACAAGGAATAAAGTCTGACAATAGTATGCAGTGTTTCATAAACAGCTGTTTTACTAAATTCTGCTGAGGTGAAATTCAATACAGTCCTGTATCGTGATACGTATCATATCGTGACTTTACTGGTGATACACAGCCCTAATTTTTACATATTCCATTATAACTCACAGATTACAACATACCTTTCTACCGTCATTTTATATAATAGAAACATACACTTCCATTCAAAAGTTTGGGGTCGGTAAGATTTTTTCATGTTTCTGAATGGAAAGAAATGTCTTATACACACCAATGCTACATTTATTTAATCAAAAACACAGTCAAGAAGTCACAGTCACAATCAAAAAGAGCAATTTCTTGTAATTTAATATGCAATTTCTTTAAATGTAATTTATTTGTGATTTCAAAGCTGAATTTTCAGCATCATTACTCCAGTCTTCAGTGTCACATGATCTTTCAGAAATCATACTAATATGCTGATTTGCTGCTCAAGAAACATTTCTGATTATTATTATCATAATAATGTGCTCCTGTGGCTCAGTGGTAGAGCATTGCGTTAGCAGCGCAAAAGGTCATGGGTTCGATTCCCAGGGAACACACATACTGGTAAAAAATGTATAGCCTGAATCCACTGTATGTCGCTTTGGATAAAAGCGTCTGCTAAATGCATAAATTAAATTAAATTAAATTATTAATTGAAAACAGTCGAGTTGCTTAATATTTTTGTGGAAACAATGATATCCATTTTTTTCAGGATTTGTTGATGAATCGAATTTTTAAAAAAACACATTCTTTATTTAGTTAGTCAGTTATTTTATCTTTTGTCCATAACAAAGTCTTTACCGTCACTTTGGATTCATTTCTATCAAGGAAAAAAAACAACAACTTACTGACCCCAAACTTTTGAAGAGTAGTGTACATATTTGTGCTAACTAGGGATGTGCCTAAAGTTGAATATCTTATTATAATAACGCAATAATGTAAATACGCAATAATAAGTGTGTGATGTGAATGAGTGTAAACTCTAACAATGAAACAGACTGACCTGTGAACAGGTGTGGGAATTTGATGGGTAGAATGACAGCTTCTTTCAGGGCTTCTTTTGCCCCCTCCAGTCCGGCCACATCACTCCACCTCACATTGGGCTTCTCCATCACAATCGCACCTCAAAACATCAACAAACATCTCATCATCATGATCCTAAACAAGACTGCAAGCGTGTTTTCCTTTGCATAAACACAATAAAGCAATAAGCCCCAAGAAGCAGTGGTTTACTAAAACAATAATCCCCAAGAAGCCGTGGTTTACAGTGAATTTATAACAGCTAAGGGGCGTTGTTAGGCACGACGCAAAGCGGATTCATGGGGCTTATTGCTTTTATAAAAACGGTTATTCCATATACATAGTAAGGTTTTACAAAATAAAACAGAGCAAATAAAGTGTAATGATATTAATAAAAACAGTATTCTTCCACCAAACAATGTAGTTCCTCAGAATCAGTTGTGGTTGCAACAAAGTGGTTGCCGAGCAACACACAGAAGTAAACAAAGGTGTGTGTTTGTAGAGTAATTTACAACAGCTTCGAACGCGGCTCAACCAATCAGAATCAAGGACCGGAACTTTCCGTTATGTAATGATACTTTTAAGATACAAAGACTCACCCATTAGATGATCCTGGAGTTTCTTTTTTTCAGGATTTTCTCCCTCACTGTCACTGTCACTTCTGTGCAAGCACACACACACACACACACACACACACACACACACACAGTTTATCACTGTGAGCAATGGACATGATTCTTCAACAACATCCAGCAGAACAAATAACAAATGAAAGCCATACTTGTCATTGCTCTGTGTTTCCTTCACTGGTTTCTTGCCCTGTTTGTCCTTGTTTTTCAAGTAGTCCTTGAGTTTCTCGGCTCTGTCCAGATACTGCATACACTTCCCACGGATGCTTTCCTTCGCCTTGTCACTGTGTGCTTCATCTGAGAAACAAAGGGATCAATGGTGCGTCTTTAAATATTTCATACAAAATGTTACATTTACACATTTATTACATGTAAAATGTAATTACATTTTCATCCAACTTTCAGTAACCCCCCGCATGAATGACTGAAAGGGAAGTAATTTTACAACCTATTGGATGTGAGTTTGCAGTGGACTGTGGATTTGCAGGACTCTCAATACAAGGCCAGATCCCAATGCTAACACTTCTTTTTCAAATCTCTCGTTATTAGCTCTTTAACATTAACCAATAGCCTGCCAGGCCTTGGTGACATCAGCCAAACAAGAGAGTTGTTTCAGAGGCGGAGCCTCAACATTTTGATGAAAAACAAAGATGAACTTTTTTTCCAATTAACTGTGTACAATAAGATTTTCAGAAAGTAAATAGGGTTCATTTTGAGTTCATTTGGAATAACATTCAGAAGATGTAGTTCACTCACATTTGATGGCATGCAGGAAATACTCCACAGCATGCTGGTAGAGTCTCAGCGCCTCCTCATAGTTCTTGGCCTTGTCCTCCTCTGTGGCTTTAGTGACCAGCTCAATCGCTTTCTGAACATGACAAATGACAGAGCTACTGACGGCTCTACGAACTGACAGACTAATCTATGATTTATAAGGGCTCATTCCACATCAACTCAACCAGAGGTCCATGGATTGAAATGTTGTTTTTGATTTTCTTTCTTTTTTCTTCAGGTGAAAGAACAAATAATGTCAAATATTCGCTTATTTTTTTAAGAGTGCTGAAAATGACATTTTCCAGTTAATATTTAAAGCAAAAGTCAAGCTCTAAAAAGACCTCTCGGAAGACTGCAGCTTCATTCTGTAAACAAATATTATAAGTATATTAAAAGAAAATTGTTGTGTCTGCACCCCCAGAGCAAACTATCCTTTTGGTATATTCATATTGAACGCCCCGAACAGTTGTGAGATGTAAAGATGTGGGGCTGCATGTGTAAGTCATTAAATATTCATTGGCTGAAAACCAGATGGTATCTGTGCTGACCTTTTCCAAAAACACAGCAGTCTACAGTACAAGTTTTGCTGAAATTAGAAACTTACATAAAAAAAAAAAAAAGTAAAAATCTTGAATTTTTAGAGTTTGAGAAAAAGATGTTAAAGCCCATGTATTCATTTTAAGAATAAAAAATATTTTAAAAATCATTTGTTTATCAGACATTCCTCTTTGGACACTAAACAAATTGAGTTTTGGACAATAAAATCATACAATTTAAAAGTTACAACAACAATTAAACAGGCCCATATGCCATGCACATGTACATGCATCCTCGAGGCAATAAATGAAATACTTATTTAAGTATTGCCTTGAGAATATATGTACCCTAACAGAATACATGTATCCTAATAACAGTCTATTCTGAACCTGAAAAACAAAGGATATTCATTTAGTTTCAAAACATTTGGAGTAATATCCACCCAACTTTTTGTGTTAGCCTAATTTTTAGATTAAATTCATTGGTATATAATGGGTGCTTTTTTTTTGTAGTTTTGCTCCATATAATAGGTAAAAATTTTATTTTTAACCCCCGTAGAAAGTAATGCATTACTTAGTAAATACTGCTCAATGCATTACAATTTATGTACATCTTTCTTCCAAAATAAATTAATTAAAATAATAATAAAATCAAAACTATCCCCTGGTGAGGCTTCAGAAATTTGGTTGATTTGATATAGAATAATTCATAAGTATAAATAGATTATTATAGCAGCTATTCCAAAATAAACCAAGTGTCAGTTGCAAAATATACAGCCGAGCAAATAGTGCTCGATTTCGATTTTCAAAAATATATTTGTAAATACTGAGTAAAATATGAGTTCATCTAAATTCCGCAATTCTGCGTACATCTAACTTAAACTCTATTACGTTTATATTTGGCGGTTTTCAATTTAGTATTATAACAGTGGGCAATAACTGTCAGACTCCTGCCACCAGCTTTGCTATATATTTTACTGTTTATTCTTCTCGTGTAACTACTTATTTAATTTCAGCAATTGTGTGTATATTTGATTTGCTGTCATTAAATCGTAGACCCACAGACTGACAGATTAACAGGCTTATAGCTAATAAACAAATCTACAGCAGCCGTTCAAAAATGACTTCATGAAAGCATGACGAACTTAAACATATATTTCGAGAGACATCTCTACAAAATTGTAGCTTAGTCCTACATTCAATAAATCTTATAAATGAATATGAACTGAAGTGAGGTTTGTTTACATGGTTGCTTGCTTATGTCATCATAACATATTCTCCGATGATTTCTGGTATGTTTACAACGTTAATCGCTGCTGACGTGTGTGAATTATAAGCGATCAGTGATTACAGTTCATTTGTTCAGTCGATGTTCAGTTTATGATAGGATTAGATGAGGATGAGGATGATGAACTACAGCTAAAGCTAATGTAACCTCACCTGCAGTGTTGACGTTGTCATTTCATCTCACGCGCCAGCGGTTTCACTGCGGTGTCCTATTATTGGTATTTATAGTATATTCAAATTGTTCGTTAAACAACGAGAGCAACAAAACAATTATATTAATGAAGGTTCATATAATGTGATAGATAAGTGAACATAGAAACGGAAGACGCTACCCTCCAGTGTTCACTCCTGTACTGTCCTCCGGAAACAAAAGCTCAACGCATTAGTTCTTCTTCCTCTTCTTCTGATGTTTATTGGCGGTTTTGGCAAACCAACTTAAAGGTGCATTACCGCCACCTACTGATCTGGAGTGTGGAGTGAACAGATTTGGTAGAGAGGACGTTTAAAAAAAAGAAAGAAAGAAAAAAAAAGAAAATTAGACCACAATTACAATTTATATTCTTTCCATATTTCCTGTCCTTTTTAGATAAGTGAACACTTCTTCTTTAATTCTTGATTGCATTTGTCTATTCCCTAGTAATATCTTGAGTGATACTTTATCATGTCGCATTAGTTCCATATCAAAACAATTCTAAATAACACTCATTTAATTTACGTTTTTATTTATATATGACATTTACATAAAGACATAATGCATAGCTTCAGGTTACAGGCTTTGGAAGTTATAATACATATACAAACAAATAAGCATTTTTTGCATTTGATTTTGTGCTGCAAGCTGCCACAAGTGAAGACTAAGTGAACTTTGGTTCAAACGTTTTCTCCTCAGAATAAAGACAAATCAAGCTATTAACTAAAATTGCGGAACAAATAATGAAACGGAGGCATGTATCTATGGGTTTATAAAGTACATTCATAGTCCGAAGCATTAGTCCTGTCAAATATCAGGCTGATGACAGCTTCAAACATCTCACACATTTGTAAACCTGGCAAGTGTTTAACACGGTTTCATAGTTAAGACAAAGCACAATGCAATGGGTCTTCAGTAAGTGGTCTGATGTCATAACATAAATGATAATTATGTGACAGCACATAATGTCCAAAACTATGACTGATCAACAACCTCAGAGAGTGAAAGAATAATCAGCCAAAAGCATCACACATTTCTTTTAATGGACATTTCAGAAGAAACAAGGAAGGTTCCCACATGAGTGAAAACTCTTTTTCCCCCTGATTTAGAAATATTTATGATATTAGTATGTACAAGAGACTATAAAAGTTTAAGGGCACTTAAAGCATCAAATAGGTTGTATGTGTGGTCCTTGTGCAGATACATGTTTTTTTGCTTTTTTAAATGGACCTAACCATCTCATTTGTGCAATGAGACTTCTGCTAAAATAAGAAATATTAAAATATAGAGATATTGCTTCTGTTAAGCTTGCATGAGCGATGGTTATGAATAAATGCTGTTCATACAATCTCACTTTCAAAACGTCATTACCTCCATATATTGTCACATTGTTCATATTCTTTTCCTACAAGAACCTACTGCCTCCACTGTGCATGTTTCCTAATGCAGTATACTTATGAGGGCATGTCAGTACTGCCCCAATCTGCAAACGCTTAAACTACGGTGTCTGTGACTGAAGTGATGGGTTCATATAGATCCTGTGCTCAAACTCAGTTTGCATTACATGCCTTACATAAAGATATTAAATGTTAATAAAGAATATATACTGATATTATACTGATAGACATAAAACATACACGCCCCAAAAAAACGCATATCAGTTCTAATAACATGATGGTCCCCACACGTTTTGAACGATAAATTTCCATGACATTTCCAGTCTTGACTGATAACTGGATTAGTATTATTTAAAGCCATTTTATAAAGATTGTACTCACAAAAAGCAAAGCTCTTCAGAGCTATATATATATATATATATATATATATATATATATATATAACTAGAAAATGTATACTGACTATAGAAATAGGGCTTTTTCCTCATGATGCATTTAATAATAATGCGTTTTCATTAATTTCCTTCACATTTCCAAGCCTGGACATTAGAATTTTAAAATTCCCTGATATTTCCCAGTTTTTTATGACAGTGGGAAGCCTGTAATAAGAACTAAATACTCATCAAATGCTGATCAAGAAGCATTTAAACAAAATAAAAAAAATCAAGGCCTGGAGCAGATTTGGTCATAAATGTGGAAAAACATTTCTTATGACATGCAGAGAACAGATAAACGAATAAAACATTCCTATATTTAAAAAAAAAAAAATCAAAAATATAATTTAAATGAATCGATCCTATTCAACACCTTATAGAGTTAACTTTAAGGAGGTTATTTTTGGTCAGTCATGAAGGGAATGTATTTAAAGCTTCATTTTCTCCATATTTGCAGGAATGGCAGTCTGCCACATATTCATTAAGATTATAGCACACAGATGTAACAGTCTTTGCCATGCAATACATATAAACATAAATACAGGTGAGATACATGAAAAACAAACAACATAGATAGTACAATAATAATATTTTCATTTTGGTTAGTCTGCAAAGCCTGAACATTTTCTGTAAAAGCTTGTTGGCTCTAGATGAGAAGGCACGATAGGTGTTCCTGATCAGATGAAAGTGGGATTGTTTTCTGCCTTAGAAAGCCACACACACACACACACACACACACACACACACACACACACACACACACACACACACCCACTGAACAAATGTGTTAGCTAGAAGAGAAGTAGAACTATGAAAACACTTCTTGAGTAAAATACTAGTTGTCAATAAATCAATGAAATAAATGAACCTCCATCATTTCCTGTTGATCCTATGTGAGCAGTCCCAAACGAGCCAGTTTCGCTGAGAGAAACGAATGAAGCACAAAGACCACAGGCTTCGGCCCTGAGTGAAGCTCAAACACCTGCGAGACAGAAAGATAGAAACACCGATTATTATGAAAACTATACAGGGATCCTACACCTTTTGACTAATGATTACACTACATTTCTACTCGCTCTGAATTACATCATTTTTTAGAGACTACCCACACAAAATAAACAGATGAATGAATGAATGAACAAATGAATGAGGCCTTAATGAGTGTAAGTCTGTTGGTCTATTGTTTTGTAATGTCAGGACCAAAAAAAATTCCATTCATTAAGACCACAATTTCATGTCCATTTCTTCACAGGTAAATATCATACTGTACTGTGTGTCTGATTGGTCCTACCATCTCGCCCTCTGGAGCACCGAAGTCCAGGTAGAGATTCCTAACTCCATCGTCTGCGGACATCTTGAGCCGCTCATAGGGGAAGTGAAAGAGCACGGATTCGCCAGATTCCCGCTTCACAGTGAACCCTCTGTCATAATGCAGGATCAGACGCACTTCCTGTCTGTTCAACACACAGCCTGAGGAGTGCAGACAGACAGATGGATATAAGGATATGAACCACAAGAAGGTGAATTAATGTGATTTTATGTTTTCTTTGCTGGCTGGAACTCAGGAAGGAAAGCACGCAATATTTCCAACATTTCCCCCAGCCAGCTATTGTTACACACCACAGAGCGAGGGAAAACATTTTTTCAATCCAGCATTTTTCCACTCAGTTGTCCCTTTACTAAATAAGACCCTCGGTTACTCAGACAAGTCTTACAGAACATCCAACAGGAATGAATTTGGACGTTTCAGTGAATAACACGATTCTTGGTAAAATGTGCTTATAATGTTGCACAAATTAAATGGATATTACTCTTACAAGACCTGGCATAAGGTGTGACATTGCAAAGCATTCTAGCTGATGTTTATCTTTAAAGAAACTGGTAAATTACACAGTAGCAAGATTACAAACTGAATCATTTCATTGCAATTAGAATGACATGGTACTTTGAAGTATTTAGTTAGCATCACTAAACCATAAAGAAACATAATTGAACATTACATGACATTACTATGATTTACCCATGTAGGTGCACTACAAAAACTAACTATCACTTGTGCCTCCTTTTTTAAGACAAAAACAAATGCAAAAGTCCAGCTTTTTCAATAGTAGCCACAAGGCGTAAACAACGTGCTTGTTAACATGATTTTGTTTGAAAAAAAGAATGCCTATTAAACTTTTCCGTAGAAAGCTGTAGAAAATTTTACAGCTTTGTTGCCACAGAAATTTAAAAACCTACAATTGAGAATGCATAACCTATACCAAATCTAGAATTCCTTTAAACATTTAAATTTAGAAAAGAGATTAAAAAATTGCATCTTTGAGTAGCTTGTGCCACTATTATACACTGATTAAAAATTATAGTAATTTTTTTTATTGTTCACAGTAAGATCTATAACATGCATTTAGAAAATAGACAGGGTGAATTTTCATTTCATGCACAAACTACTCAAACACACAGGACTTCTACAAGCTGTAGAAGCAATACAAGCTGTCTAATAATAATACAGGCATGACCACGGTTACTAAGGTAGGATTGATAAGTAATGTTTTTAAGACGGGTCTTAGCGAAGGGAAGATTTTCTTCTTTGTATATTCACACACACACACACACACACACACACACACACACACATACCTATGGACACCTCTTTGATGAGCTCAGCAGCCAGATGTCCGCCCTGCACCAGTGCACGTGTCCATGTGGACAGATCCCAGTGTGTCTCCACACGAAACACATGAGACTCGATGCCTCGACCTGTGCCTGTACGTGTGGCGAACACCAGATCTCCACCCAGAGCCGGAGAGCTGCGCACGCTGCCCGAGTGAACCAGCCTGCAGACAGAGACAAATACTCTTCATGAAACACGAAAGACAGAGCTGTGTGAGTTTATTCAGAACACAAACTTATATTTCATTTTTTAAAATGGGCTGTTTTTACAGTAAATTACGCCTGCACAAAGCTTTACTGAAGTAAGAGTTTGACCGTGTAGCGAGCAGTGGATGGGTCAGGAGAGGTGAGGACCAGCTCTCATATGTCCACGGCACTGACTGGAACAGCAGGAGGTCTTTCTCTGTGAGCGCCATAAGCACTCGTCTGTACTGATGCCGCCCACCATCCAGCTCCAGCTGCACACAGACACAACAACCAGCCATTAAATTCATAATCCATACCATTTCCATATGGCGAAGGAAAAATGTGTCATGACTAATGCTGGAAATTATACAGGAATCATATTATCTATATTACCGAATAGCTCTCAACATAATCAGTATATATCTAATCTGCTAAATGCAACTATAAGGTATGAAGATATTAAAATGTTATATACAGTAACATCATGATTTTCTGTAAAGCTGCTTTGAAAAAATGTGTACAGTGAAAAGTGCTATACAAATAAAACTGAATTGATAGTATAAAAGATTAACGTTAACAACAGAGCCCAAACTATTAAATTCAATAACATTTTTAGATATAATAACCAACACTCAAATAAAAATTGAGTTGTATAAAAACATTTAAATTGCACATAAGGCGTAACAAAAAAAAAAAGTTTTTATATAAAATTTCTAATGATATAACTACCTTTTTACTCCAATTTGTTATTGAAATCTAAACATTTAAACGGCGGCCGTCATAACTTATTTTCATGAGAGTTTATACTTATATAGTAATTCAGACATCACTAACAAGTAAAAATATTAAAATACATATTTTATTATAAAACTGACAAAATCTGAAAGCTGAGACTTTGTTTACATAAAATGCAAAGCTTATTGGGATTATGATTGGGGGGTTGTGTTACAACTAGTCACCCACCAACAGAAGACAAGCATAGACTAAAAGACTGCTCTTGGACTCTAAGAGTTCATATAAGTTCATTAAAATGAAGATTAATTAAAACTGGGAAATCAATATTTTTAACCCTTGAGTTAAGTGACAATATTGCGCTAATTTATATTTTATTCCACAGCACCAATGTATATATTTATTAGAGCCCGACCGATATATCGTTTAGCTGATATTATCGGCCGATATGAACCTGTCTCCGATATATCGGTATCTGCGAATATGTCGCCGATGTGAAATTTTTTTTACAGAACATATAACGCAGATAAAATGCTTGAAATGGTGTAATTACTTAGTTTGTCCAGCAGAGCGCGCTCCATTGTTTGCTACTGGCGATCTGGATGAAACGCTTTAAAGCTTAAGTCTATGGAAAACCATTGAAACTTTGAACGGCCATATCTCCGTAACGGCGCGGCGAATCCACACCAAATTCGGGGATCCCTTCTGCTTGAGGAACCCTCTCGAACGCGAAATCGAGTGTACGTCTCGAGGCCCTCTTTCGAATGAGACCACCGGCGTGGAGATCCGCCGGCGTGTGACACCAGTCAACACTTTCACTTCAGTAAGGAGGTCTCTTGTTCAGGCAGCAGCATTCAAGCGTGGTCTTATTCGACCGTAAGTGCGCTGCGAAGTGGACTTCACATGATCTTCCGCCATGATTCCAGATCGAAGGGAACGTACACGTTACATTCAAAGGGCATTAAAGTGTGCGAGACATGAATTTATATTTATTTACAGAGGTATATTATGTCACACTTCTCTAGTAAGTTTTGTCTGTGTGTGAAGACAGTAGCGCAAATCCATGAATGAATGTTCCGAAGTGAAATAAACTTCAACGGAATAAAGTTGAATGGAATTTAATTGAATTAAACTTGAATAAACCTCAAGTTTATTCAGTGCACTGATGTCAGACTCATTTTGAATAATAAAGTTTGTTAAATTGTTAAATGCCCTGCCTCCATCATTACATATCTTTGTCACATCATTATAAGTGTTTGATCACCACATTTGAGTGATCATTGCAAAAAATGTGTTTATGTATATATATTCTGTTTATGTATATACTGTATTCTATATAGGCCTATAGCACCAGTCAAATGTTTGGACACATGAATGGTAAAGTGTCCAAACTTTTGACTGGTACTGTACTATAATATACACAAAGAATATCGGCCGATATATCGAAATCGGCCCCAAAAAAACCATATCGGTCGGGCTCTAATATTTATATACAGTATATGGTTTGTATACTTTATAATTTATGGATTATTTTATTAAAACTACATAAGAATATATAAAGAGATTGGAATGCTGGTATGATTTACTTTTAATAAGCCTAAAATATAGTTTTGATTTAACAGTTTAACACAGTTTGCATCAGCTATTGTGCATATGTTAATGAGGGTCACAAAAGACACCCGTTTTGTAAAATGACCCTTTTACTTCAAATGTTTTGAGAACTGCATGTTTGAGCTCAGAGTGCAAGATTCTGTGTGTGTGTGTGTGTGTGTGTGTGTGTGACAGATACCTGCTCTGCCAGCCAGCCGATGTGTTTGAGTGTGCAGTGTGTGTTAGCGCTGGGATTGCACAAGAAAGAGTTGATGTGGTCCATCATCTGTGGCAATAGGGCAGCAACATTTGTGTGAATGGCCGTGAACCAGGAGTGAGCAGAGGCCCCGTCTTTACACCGCAACACTACAGTGTGCTGGCCGTCCGGAGAGTGAAGCTCTAGCAACCTGAAACAAACAAAAGGCATCACTGAAAATATTCATCATCCCAGTAACACACTACATAATCAGTATTTCTTTAAAGTAATGAGTGAAGTGTTAGTTACTTTTTCAAATAAGTAAAACATTTTAGACTGTAATCAGCAGATACTGTCATTACTGTAATATCATGATCATCAACTTGCTGTATTGTTTGTCAACTTAACCCTTTAAACCAGAGGTGTACAAATAAAACGTAATTTTTTATGTGGCATTTTCATTCATAACTTCATGAAACATGCATAGGTTGTGGAAAATGGCACAACATTATTTGTAGGAAATTCTCTTGATTAACAAGAGCCCAAACTCACCAAAATCTGTTATTTAGACCTAAAGATATTCCACATCAAGGCGCACGTTATAACTTTCACATGGTTTTTATACTTGTCATTTCATAAAACATGCTCTGCCTTGATCAACACAATAGGTGTCATTTGAAAGCTTCTGAAAGAGTCTGACCTTTACAATGCATGTGGCCACTTTGATTAACTCCTAAGTAGTGCGGAGTTATTCGCTGATAAATAGAAAAAAAAAATCATAATTTATGAAATATGTTTTTGTGCCATGTACTCTAATATGTCAAAAACATATAGTCTCAGATAGTCATGTGTCATATGTCATTTGAAAGGTCTCACAGAGTAGAATAACACAAGCATAATTGTTTGGGGCTTTGACTAATCTTGAGCGAGGCATTACTACTAGAAAACAACTATTTTAAAACTGTCAAGGGCTAAACAAAAAGACTTCTTTTGTTCCAAAATGCTGTAACTTTTGGATACTTTATGCTATCACCACAAAATTTATTTAAAAAATATTTTTGTGTATGTCAACACCTTCAGGGAGGCAAAAATGCCTTCAGGTCTTACAGGGTTAATTTGTCTCAGATCTCAGATGTTGGTTAATATTTTGTTGAATTAATAATTCACAGCAAGTACTGATTTTGGGGACCTGGACATGTTTTCATGAGATTCAAATCTAAATGTAGTTGCTGTCTTCACGGCAGAATGACACGGTCAACTTCAGCAACAAAATGCAGCTTCTGGTTACTTCAGAAATCTCACACACACACACACACACACATATAAACACACACGCACCTGTTTTCCAGGTCAGGCATGGTGAGGTTTCGGCTGATGAAGCTCATTTTGAGCGGGATGACCTTTCTGTCACGGGTTATACTGCTCTTGGGCGACTCGTCCCCACTGCTGAGGTTTGGAGACTGAAGACGCCCATCCCAAGGCAGATCTGCACTCATAGAGGACTTCTTAAAGAGCGGAGACACCTCCCTGATGTACTTTACTGCACACAACACATAGTTGCTGTCTTCATGGCAGAATGACACGGTCAACTTCAGCAACAAAATGCAGCTTCTGGTTACTTCAGAAATCTCTCACACACACACACACACACACATATAAACACACACGCACCTGTTTTCCAGGTCAGGCATGGTGAGGTTTCGGCTGATGAAGCTCATTTTGAGCGGGATGACCTTTCTGTCACGGGTTATACTGCTCTTGGGCGACTCGTCCCCACTGCTGAGGTTTGGAGACTGAAGACGCCCATCCCAAGGCAGATCTGCACTCATAGAGGACTTCTTAAAGAGCGGAGACACCTCCCTGATGTACTTTACTGCACACAACACATACAGCCTTAACTGAGAATTCAATAGCAGAAACATTAAAAAAAAACGAAAAAAAAAAAAAAAACCTGCATTAACTGATGAGGATCAGTGTGTGTGTGTGTGTGTGTGTGTGTGTGTTATTAAATGATGAGAGGATTTTCATTTTGGGGTGGTCTTTACCTTTAAGGCATTCACACTGACAGTGATTTGCAGCAATATAAATCATTTATTTTCAGTAATAGTAGTGTTAGTGTAATAATAGTGTTATATTCTCATGAAAAATTATAATTTTTAAGCAGCAAGAAAGCTACTTCACATATGCAAGTAAGTAAATAAGTAAATAAATAAAGAACTTTTGAACGCTACGGTCATATTAAAAGCCTTTCAATGAAATAAAATCAAGCAGCAGTAAGGTCTAGTTGCAATCAACAGTACATCAACCTCAGCCATCATAAAATCACTGTCAGCACAATTAGTGTCATACCCAGTGCATTAAAGGTTGAGATCTAGGTCAATAACCCAAAGGTTATTTAAACCCTAAAAGGGTGATTCTCAAACTACTAATATTTCACCCCAAGAAGCAAAGCATGGCACCTTACACCCAGTGGTGGCTCGTGGGTTTTAAAATAGAGGAGGCACACTAATTGTATTGGTCTGGGATACCTGCCGATTATTATTATTATTATTTGCTTCACCAGGTTACTCCACTGAGACTGAACATGTTATAAATGTTATGTCTATGCAAGCTGCTAATTATGGCTGGACGAATAGCTCTTCATTTCACTCTCAGAAGAATTGTGGTCTTTACCAGCATCCTGTTCTTATCAGCTTCACCAATCATGGCCGATTTAATCGCTCACTGCTGCTTCACCTATAATTTGACACAACATCTTGAGAAGCTTCACTCATCTGACAAGCATCTGATTATAATAATCTTTCACCAGAGAGTGAACAGATTGGTTTATAAATGCATATCTCTGTGCAGTTCTCCAGTGAAATATTCTAGAAATTGCTGTACTGTTATTGTGCCAATATCATGGGATCATTTCTGAGCCATTTAAAGATCTCATTAGATCCACCAGGACCATCAAACAGCTTCAGTTCTCATTTTAATTAGGCCGGTGCCACAGAGGATAATGTATGTGTCAGCAGAGCCCATCTCATATCTCATGAGACACTGCTCCACATATCTGAACGTCAGCCTCCAGATCTCTGATCATGATGCAGGAGATTCAGCAGTGCTGCAGAACAACACGTGTGTTACTGTGTTGCACTGAGGTGGTACGCACGAGACATGAGACGTGTGCGGCATAATCTCCAGCGCCTCCCATCCAATAATCGCAATAAGTTTTGTACTTTGTTACTTTTCTGCTTTCAAATTCTGTTAATTTTACCACAAATTTCAAACAATAAAGATGGACAGAGATATTTAATGTGGCGTGACAGATCTGTGTAGCCGCCTCAGTTCAAGCAGCACATGAACCGATCATCTTCCTCTTTATTACTAGTTACAACACAAAATAAACATGAATGAACAGCAGAAAAGAGATTAAATAAACAGATGGAATATAACTTAGTGAAATATATAATGTCTCATGTAATCGCTCAATCAGTGTATCAACCTCGGAAAAAAGTCAGTAAAACATCATGAAATGTTACAGTTACCTCAGAAAAGCTATTCAATGACCATAGATTAATCAATAGTTAGCTGGGAAAAAAACAACTGTAGAGAACAACAATTTGCTAAATACATTTAATATTACAAATTAATTCTATTTTTACTTAACCTGTTAGTGATGTCTTCATTTTTTAATGCATTTAAGTAAATCTGTCATGAATACAAGTTATGATGACAGCCACTGATTAAATTAACTGATATGTAATCGAAATCGAGTTAAGAGCTTGTGAATTGGAATTAATGTGTCAATACTCAGCAGTACTGAAAACAAAAGTTTCCATCAATCAATCAATCAAGAAAGCAAGAAAGAAAGGAGGGCGGGATTTTATTTTGTCAACTGGGAATTAATTGGATCATAGAGAGTGGGCCTTGCCAACTAAACTGGCTTGCTAGCCAGGAAAGTACAGTAATAAAGTATCTGTCTCTCCCTCCGTCCATCTCCCTGTATCCCGCACCCACACATTCACTTCTGACGTTTGGGGAAACATTGCTGAACGTCTGCTATTGAAGCAAAAGAAATTACCTTCTTATTATCAGAAAATACCTAGATTCAATGCATCAAACTGCTATCCAAACTTAAGTTCGTTTTATAACTTGTACAAGTGATTTTCAAATGTTAATGTAACACACCCCATATCAACCTACATTATATGTAAAAAGTGCAAATGTCAAATGAACTTGTTTACTACATGAAAACAGTCTAAACTCAACAATACAATAACTAAATACATTCTTAAAAACTATTCAGTCTCGCTTTATAGTGTTGAACATGCAAGTTTTTAACTTTGTGTCATTATCAATTAAATATACGCTGTTTATCTTAAGTGTGAAGTTCAGAGCTCTGTGCGGGCCTGTTGAATCCCCGCGGCTCGAGTGATCGGCTTACCCTCCAGCGTCACCTCCTTCCCAGCCTTCTTCAGCGCCTGCACCGCCGCGTCGTGCGTGGCATCGCGGAGGTCGCTGCTGTTGACGGACAGGATCGCGTCGCCGACCCGAAGGGCTCGACTCTGATCCGCCGCCAAACCGGGGAAGATCTTTGATATGAGGATGGGCATACGGTTCTCCCGTCCCCCTTTAATACTGATCCCCAGTCCGCCGGAGTCCTGTTTGACTATCCGGACCCTCCGAACCCCCTCCGGGTCACAATAACCGCTGGACTCCGAGTCGGACCCGTTGACCCGACCCGGACTGTCGTATTGCCCGCGGTTCTGATAAACATCTCGGTTCTGTTCGTTGCCATTAGAAACGCCATTTCTTAAATGCGAGTTGTCCTCCGAATAGCCCGCTGGCCCGCTCGGCTCGCCCTCCGCCGTCAGTGTGAGAGTGTCCCGTGTGAGTTCCGCAGAGACCCGAACCCAGCGATCACTCAGCAGCAGGTCCAGATGACCCTGTTTTTCCGCGCGGGTCCACACGGCCATGATCAAACTTTAACTCATCATAAAGTTTAAACTCACTCGACACACCCACTTACACGCGCATTTCCCCAGAGGAAGGAAGAGGAACAGATTTTATGTATGTTAAATAAGTTAAAACATCGGTATATTTCCGCAGCGGCTGGAATTTGTGATCACTGCACGAAGATACTATAAAATTAAAAACATCCTTTAAATCGACCTGCGGAGATAACCATGATATTTGTATGTACTTAATTATTCATGAGAGGGGCGAGGAATTCAAATTTTTCTTCCCTCTCCAGAAAAAAAAGCCCACGGTAGCCGCTCGAGGTCGTGCTGTGCAGTGATTTAATCAAGGTTAACGAAGACAAACACAATGCCGCTTAACCCTGGTAAAATCACTGTAACGGACTTAGTGCTTTATTTACTATGTGCTTTTACTTTTGCTGTTTGGAGGGGATTTTTTTTTATTTCCCCGCCTCTCTCATTGATAATTCATTAGATACAAATCTAATCTCTTATAAAACGATAGAGCCAGCTATAAGATAAAATACACTAGCGTTCAACTGAATGAATGAATGATGCACCCAAATAAACAATGAATCTCCTAAGCAATATAATTCATTATTAGCCTAAAACACATGTATTACAGTTGCAAACCAACTTATTACTTATTAGACATTAGTAGGTCTGTCACAGACTAACTACATTATATTGACAAGTTCACAGCGTCTTTAATGGCTGCTCATCGACTTTTAGTGCCAGAACGGTCTGTTTAAAAAATGTAATTAAATAAATAAATAAATATTTGGATGTACATAAATATTTGTATTTAATTCACTGATCTATATAATCTAATGTTCTCTAATATAGATTAGTGATCTAATTACATATTTAAGTAGCAGAAAATTAAAATAATAAAAGCCAACTAAAGCCAATCATGATCACTATCCATTTTTATCTATAATTAAGCTCTTTATTGTGTTAAAGTCAAATGTTTGGTAAATCAATACAACACATTTGTGTCAGCTCTAAATAATATTGACTCATGGTAAACAATGCTAACTATTCTCATTTGCTTTTAAGTGTTATTCATACTCTAAATGGGTCACTCTAAATGGGTTTAAATAAAGCACATTTTTAACTTATAACAGTTGCCATTAGGCAAAAGCTTTTGTATGCCTTGTGTATGTGTGCAGGGAAGCTGACAAATCTTAATAGTCTTTCATTTTTTTAATGCAAAATATTCCCAAAAAAATCCTCTAGTTTGGGGGTAAAATATGGTTTGAAGATGCCATGGCAGGTTTTGATCTTTTCATCCATATAGTATTTTTAATAACATAATAATATATAATAATCACACAATACAGTATGGCACCCACACACCCACGTGTGTGTGGAAACATCACATGCTGGAGAGAGCAGTCGTTTTGTGGCATTGGTTTTATTGCAGACCTTACAAAATAAGAGTGAGTTAAACATGTGGATCAGAAGGCCACTTCATTAGTCTACTGAGAATAAGATACAATTATCAGCTTCATTCTGACCTTTACTATCACAAAACAGCCTGACTCAGTCCCAAGGTAATTACATCCCTCTCTGGTGCTAAATAGAGCCAATCCCAAAGCATAAAAATGCATTTGCTATTAGATACGAGAAATATGCATTTACAGATGTACTTTATAAGGATGTCTCCTAAGCATGGACAGTCCTGGCTCAGTTATATACCATTATATTCAAGCTAAAATCAAGAAAAGATGCAAAAGGATTGTCTTTCTTCATTAGCCTTCAAGCATTGCATCCCTTAATCTATACACGTTGTGATTAGATGTACATTGTGCAGGAAAGGGTGATAAGGCAGATATGATTCACATGTGATTCACATCTCTGTCATCTAACACTGGCAAATATTCCAGCTGGATGCTTGTAGAGTTTCTATAGAGTTTGTGTAGAGTATGTGTCGAGGATGTGTGAGGTGGAGTTGATGCATTCATTTACTGCTCCTACTGAAAGCGTGTGGTTGTGATGTGGCATGTGGATATGTCGAGGTTGTCCTTTTATTCCGTTTTGGTGTGTTGTTGATGATGTCCAAACTCCTGCGACTGGAGGAAATGACATCAGCCACAAACTTTGTGCAGTCAGAGCACACATCTCTCAGGTTGCAGCCTGCGGCGTACAGGTGGGGAAACTCTTCCTCCACAGAGTGTCTGGAGAGAGAGCACAAAGACCTGCAGACAAGCAGAGAGATTTGAGCTATTCCAACAGTTGTTTTTTCTCCAATGTTAAAAAACAAGATATTGTGATTATCTTCTAAAGCTGCTTAACTTTTGTATAATGAAAGCAAATTCTGGGTTCAATACAGGCCCTGCATCAGGGGGGGGGGGATGTTCTGAAGCCCTCACTGTAATGATCTGAAGGACCCACCCCTCCACCTCCAGAATACGATTTTAAATGTGGAAAGCAATCAAAACCGAACGAGATTTCAACTGAGGGGCACCCCTCGGATCTGATTTGTGACACCTCAGATTCAATTTGACCCCCTCCAACCCCCCAAAACACGCTGATTTTAACCATTCGATGCAGACCATCACCGATGTATTTTGAACATTCACTGCTAAATTCAAACGCTATGTCTGGCACTATTCAGTGTTTTCAACCACATAAAATTTATTTTAGGTTTCAGACATTTAAATTAATTACTAGCAAAAAAGACATTTGTTAAATACACACTGATGTTTGTGAGTTTGTTAAATACACTGGTGTCTAAGGAAAGCCGCAATAATAATCCTTTCAATTAAAATCTGACACCGTGTTTTATTCATATAGGCACACTTTGTTTAGGTAACTATAAAGTTCACTCTATTCTTCTCCTAGTTTAACGATGACTTGCTTTTATGTACTTCAGGAGAAATGGGTGAATTTACGTGATGTTAAACCAAAGATCCCCCCTAAAGCCCCCCCAGGTCATGTGTCCTGGCGCCGGGAATGGTTCAATAAAAGATGTATATCGCACCTTATACAATACAGATTGTTTCAAATGCAGCTTCACATTAATAAACAGGAAAATAACTGCGCTGCAAAATTCCTCAACTATGAAATTAATTCAATTTCAGCTGTGCAGCTCTACAGATAACAGTGGCACTATTCAGCTCTATTTAGTTCAATGATGGTTTAATTTAGATCAATAACAGTTTGAATGTTCATCAGTTATGAAACAAACTCAGTTCAACTGTAAAGCATCTCTATAAAGACGATAGTGTCATTATTCAGCTCAGGTCAGTTGATTCAGTTCAGTTTAATAACAGTGCAAAGTTTATCAAAACAAGAAACAAGATCAATTTGACTACAATTTACATTATGCAAGTACCTTTTAAATGCAAATATCACCTTTAAGCAACATTAAACCGTCTGTGTAAATAACCATAATTGTCAGATGCAGCTTGTTTTTTTTTTTGGCTGTTTTTTTTTTTACTTTGTTAAAATGTTATTGGTAACAGTCTATAGTGATTTGTTAGTGATTGAAGTAGCTACTTAAATTTAGGTATTTGACATAAACAACAACACAGATACATTTAGTAAGGTAATTATAAAAAAACACAACAACAACAGGAAATCAGTGTAATTTCAAAGTTCATTTCTGGCCAGCACAGACAGTGTGGAATGTGACTGTAGTCATTTAAGACACACAGCATATATTTACTCACTTATAGACTTCACTCTTGTGACTCTTCGCACTGCTGTGAAATCCCACAGTGTACACTGGAATGTGTGCCATCTTTTTGTAAGGAATTTTCATCTGTTAAAGGGGCAAAATAAAGCAAAATCACTTGTGGAGTTTGTTACATTGTCTCTACTGGTAAAATAGCAGTGTGTAATAAGAATTACTTCAGAAAAAATTAAACAAGAAGCCCTAAAGCATTGGTCCTCAGATGGTAGGAGAACAGATAATAATAGAAATAATGGAACAGAATGCAGTCACCCATATAATCATGCATAATAAATAAATCTATCAACTTTTGGAGGAGAAAGGGCTTCCCGTATCATTTGTAACTGACATCTAAGGCTGTGAGTCCAATCCAACTCTATTGTACCATGGATTAAATATCGTGGATTATTACTATCGACTACTAAATTGCTGCATGAGATTTAAATGAAATAAATATTTAGTACCTTTGCACTACAAGAGCTACAAACAGACCTGAAAGTGAAAGAATCACATTAACTGTGATGATTAACATGAATCTTCAGAACAGCGAATCAGACAATACTAATATTACATGTTGCAGGAAATATTTATGAAAATGAAATCAAGACCTTTTACACAGAAGGCACGTGGATGGCCATGAAAACAGTGGAAACTTCACCCGACAACAGCAGCATATCTAAAAAACAAAGATGAACAAAACAGAAATGAACACTGTTTTCTTTGGCTTGCTGGACTGATGTGATCATATGATCATTCAGATATTCACACCTTGCCTTTCTTCAGATTATTATAAAGCTCTTTGTTCTGCATGTATTTCTCCATCTCAGCCTTGATGAGTATCCGGCGCACGTTGATGACTTCATCCACTGTTAAGGCCAGACTGTCCACTGGATGACTGAATTCCTCCTGTGTGTGAGGGAAATAAAGAAGACGACTCAGATCCTGTACAAACAACAAAAAAACTGTTTACAATAATTCAGGCCACTTATGGGGGAAGTTTTGTTAAACACTTCCTGTTCATTTTAAGAAATTAAGGGAAATTATTGTCTGTGGTAATCGACAGCATGTCACAGATGCTTCCCACTACATTGCCTTTGTTGGTATAAATACTAACACCACTGACCATCCACTGATGTCTGCAAAGTCCGCCAGATGCTGCAGCACCATCACTGCATTTGTCATCGGAGCTCTGAGAATGACAGGTGGACGGGGGCTTCCTGTCAAACACAGGAAACGAGGCTGGACACAAAGAAAATAGTGGAGAAGAGAGAAAGACCGTCAGGCATCTCTATTTAACAATTCAGAAAGAACGTGTTGATCTGTCACCATTTTTTTTTTTTTTTTAATTCACTTTAACCAAATTGAGTTCCAAGTAGTGTTGACACAAGAAAACTGAATTCTCTTTATTTTAATATAGGGCCAGATTTACTAAACAGGTCAAAAGGGGGACCACAGCACGTTTTAATGTCAGGATGTTGTTGTGAAGCAGTCATTTTCCTTTGCTATTGCTTGTGGTATAATAATGCTTGTTGGATTTGTGCTGGTCAGACTAAGTCTGAGCATTGAAACATATGCAAGTAAGAATATTTAATAAGCTCTTTTTTATCATCATCACTTTGGCTCCTTCTGCTATTCTTTGGCTTTGCTCAGTCAACTTCTTTGATGATAGAAGACTGTTAATACAGTTTTGGATACCAGAAAAATCACCGGTTTTGGGTACCAGACAAGACTTGCTGTTAGCAGGTTTTGGATATTAGACAACCTTGCTGAAAAGTTGTTCTGTTACCAGACAAGGGTTCCCCGAAGGGAACGAGAGGCTGCGTCGGAAACGCTATGGGAACACCTCTGCGTGACCGCTTACTGAAGCATGTGTGAAATCAGTCCAATAGAATAGTGAAACGTCACAGGCGGGTGATGCAGAGACCAGGAAGCTATAAAAGCGCATCCGGTGAAAACAGCGTCAGCTTCTGATAGGTTGAAGCAAGCACTCACAGGGATGCAGGAAGTATGGCAGGCAACGCAGCATCTCGTTCCCTTCAGGGAACCATGATTACATACGGAACCTAGGGACGTTGCCCTTCAGGAACTCAAGACGGAAATGCTATGGGACCGAGAATACCAACTCCGCCATACTGACGAATGCCTGTCTAGTGTAGACTACACGCACATCTAAGACAGAAGCACTCTAGAGCCCAAAACACGGCCAGCATCTCCAGGCAATTTATGTGCCACATGAGATGGTGACCTTCCCACAGACTTTGGGCAGAGCGGTCACTTATGACCGCTCCCCAGCCCGTGAGGGAAGCATCTGTCATAATCGTTACACAACAACAAAGAGCTCCCAGCACAGGACCTTGAGACAGGAAGCAAAGGCTTCTTCTATATGATTAAGGCACAAAGGCATAGCGGCATGACCTTGATCAAGTGAAAGGGGTTGCCCCTCGGGGAAAACTCTTTGGTCCTGAGCAGTGTTGGGCAAGTTACTTCCAAAATGTAATACATTACCCAGACAGCAACATAGTGTTGGCCCAGATCCGGCCCACATCTGCTAGGCTACTTTGAACGGTTTCAGAAGAAAGCAAGCATGAAAAATATAAGTTGCTAAACAAGCCAAAATGAATTAGGCTAATTCAATGAGAAACTGAAAGCAAACGGCGTTCTCGCGCAGCCTACCTCTCTCATTCGGCATTAATCCAATTAAATGTGTTCATATTTGTGATGTATTTGAATACTAAACTATTATTTATTATGTAAACCTGGCTTACTTAACGCACTTAAAAAACATCCTCGTCACATGAGCAAATGTGTGTTTGCAGAATTCGTCTCTGCAGTCATCTCAACCATCTAATTCCAGCAACAGGAAATAGACAAACTATTTTACCCACAGAATATTTTCTCTGGTGCTGTTTTGCGGTGTTAGTAAATTCACCACTTAATTTTGAGTTAAAATATGTTGTTGTAACTTGCGTTACTGAGATTGTAACGAGTAATAATATTACCCAAATTTGATTAGTGCGTTATATTACTGTGTTACAGCAAAAAGTAATATACTACTGTAATATTATTACTTTTGTAATGCGTTACTCCCAACACTGGTCCCGAGCCACCACTGCAAAGGTCTCATGTACGGCAGGCCAAAAGGAATGATGTTGGACACAGCTGCCATCTGACCCACTAGTCTCTGAAACTGTTTCACAGTGAGTGACTGGCCTTGTCTGATACTGTTCACAGCTGCAAGAATTTAATTGATACGAGCAGGAGACAAACGTGCCTGCATTGCTGTAGAATCTCACATCATGCCAAGATAAGTGGTTCTCTGAACTGGAGAAAGCACACTCTTCTTGGCGTTTAGCCTTAACCCCAGCTCCTTCATATGAGAAAGGACGACATCTCGATGCAAACCGCCATATGCTCTGATTGAGCCAGAATCAACCAGTCGTTGATATAGTTTAGAATGCAGATGCCCTGGAGTCTGAGAGGAGCCAGAACTGCATCCACACACTTGATGAACGTGCGGGATGGCAGTGCTAGGCTGAACGAAAGAACACGATAGAGATAGAAAGAGCAGCGGCCAGCTCGGTGCCCTGAAGCAGAAACCCGCCAAGGATCAATCTGAACAAGAAGAGGCCACAGGACGATCCAGAGTGCTGTTTTTTCCTCTTGCGTTTGCTGGTTCGTTTTGTGACTTGAATCTTGCTAGTCTAGTCTTGTATTTATCCACTTAGGTTTTTGATCTTGTCAAGTTAAAGTTTGTTTTTTTTAACTCTCTGTTTTGTTTTGTTTTTTTGGGTCTAGTCATTTATCCTTTATATTTTTAACTTTTCCCTTTGTAGTTAGTTTAGGTTATCTTTAGAAGTTCAATTTCTTTTATATCTTTTGTTCTTTTTCTATTTTAGTTATTTAGTTATTTGATATTTCCTTAGTCATTGTTTTGCCAGTTTTTTGTTGCCCTTGTTTTTGTCTCTCCTGTTGTCTTATCTGGAGTCTTGTCTTGTCGTGCGTGTTGTGTTGGTTCCTGCCATGCCCAACTCTGTGTCTCTCCTGGTTGCTGACTCTCCTGACCTGGATGCCAACTCGGGTTCCAACTATGCCCACTATGTCTCATTACACAACCGATTATAAAAGTGGGAATACAGAGAAAGCCACTCTATACTACCGCGCAACATATACAAGTTTGAACGCAAGAGGCAATACTGCCCATCTTCTTAAAAGCAGTATACAAATTCATAACACTGTGACAGCACTCTTATTATTGCCAGCAGTATTCATCACCAATTTTAAAGACATGTACCTGCGATCAAGCTGTTGAGATTGAGAATGGCTATACAGAAATCTTCAAGATTGTTACTGGGGTCAGGCAAGGCTGCATTCTATCCACACTATTTTTCCCCATTGCCTTGGACGTTGGGGCTGGCATCATCTATTGGTCTGACTAAGGCCGCTTGGGTTCCACTTGGATTCACCAATGACATCGTCCTAATCGAGGAGAACGAGACGAAATTGCAGAATGCAACAAGTGACCTAGACAGGACATCAAATAAAATTGGCTTAAGGATAACCATTGAGAAGTCAAAGTTCATGTTTGTAAATGCCATGGATCAAAACCAGGGTAATAGTGGTCAGATCACACCAGCTGGAGGAAGTGGAGAGTTTCCCCTATTTGGGCAGAGTAATCTTCTGGAATGGAGGTGTGGAAGAAGGTGTTAAATGCTGCATCGGGTATAAACAAGAAGCTTGACATCTTCCAGCAGAGAAATGCCAAATCCTGAAAATCCTATTATGATCATATCACTAACAAAGAGGTACTTCAAAGGAGTGGCGTGCACAAACTCCACATCATTGTTGCCCAAAGACCTCCAACTGGCTGGAGAAAATGGAAAATTATTGGATCCCGAAGACAGTAATGACATGGTACATCTCGGTGCCAGACACTAATGAGGATGACCACAGAACACCTAGACAAGACCATTCAAAGGCACTCAACATTACATAGGACAACACAAGGCACTTGCCAAAGTCCAAAAACGCTGGACAACACTTGCTGCCCGATATGGCCAAGAACCACCTACCAAGACATAGTCTGGCTAACAAGTATAGATACCACAGGTCTGTTTTTATGTGTGATTATCTGTCAGTCTTTGTGAACAGGTTTACTGAGAAGACAAAAAAATAAATGTTGACTATATAGACTTTGTGATCAGAATCTTTGTTCCTCATATATTAAGTAAAGATTACTACTCCACAAAAAAACAAAGCAAAATATAAAGTTTGGCTTTTGGATAACTTGTTAATTACCTCAAACAAAACTGTGAATTTCTTTCAAAGTTTAACTAACCTTGTGAAAATCCCATAACGATTTCTTTCTCAGAAGTGCTCACTGTGTCAACACGGTAAGCATGACTCGATAGAGGTTGCTAGATCAAGTTTTATGTTTAATACACATTAGACAGTCAGTGAACAGACTGTCAGCTGTTCATGGTCTAAGGCAAAAGCTATGGGCAAAAAAAAAACACTTTATGCAAGTATGCAAGCACAGACACAAATTAAACTATAGTCTTTATAAGTCATATTTCTATTCAAACTGTTGCTCTGCCATGACAGTATCTGACCTGAAAGCCATAATTGCATTGCATTTTGAATTGGAGTTTGACACAATTTGTAATGTAATGGCACAAAACACGAGCACAGGGAATGTGCTGGGCCTAAGGAGTGACTAGTAGCAACGTTACGTAACTGTAACAATACCTTAAATGTTAACATAATGTAGCTTTGCAGCCAGTGTGGGGTAGTAACTGATTTCATGTAATCTGGATTACGTAATCAGACTCTAAAAATCAAGTACTCATAATTAGAGTACATTACATTTTATAATGCTCTTAATCAGAGTTCAGTTACTTTTTATGGATTACATGACACTGTTAAAAATTTTAGTGTGAAATTAAAGTATATTCCAGGTTAATAATTGCATTACTTTCACAGTATTTTCACAGTGGGACTTCTCTTGTATCTAACTGCACTCTCAGAAATTTCTTGTAAACTAACAGTGTCATACTGTGTTTCTACAGTGCATATGTACTCTGAAGGCACTCGGCATGCAATGCAGCATGAATAGATCATGCTGTAGAGTTGTTTTATTCTTGTTGGTTTTATTTGTGCTATTGAACTTGTTTTAGGTTCACTTTTAGCAGTTTGTATTGCTTGTTTATTTTGTAATGTTGGTTTATGTTATAAGTGTTTTTATATTTTGAGTGTTACCATTGTTGTGTTTTGTATGTTGAGTATTGATGTCACATCTTTCAAAGACGTATCTCAGTAGTTGCTTCACTATTGTGAAAGATCCATCCACAAAAAGTTATGAATATGAAATAAGTTATTGATTAATCTTCAAGCTTAATTAATGCTAAAATAAAAACTTCATGTTCATGCTAAGAATAGTTTGACTATCTTAAAGTCAGACAATTAGCTTATTTCATATTCTAGCTCGTCACCATTTTAACAAATGTTTTCATTTGTCACACTTCTGACATGACTACTGTAAATCTGATTTGAATATGAATATGCAAGGTCAAAGAGCCCAAACAAATGGGATCACCAATCACCATTATGTCAAACAATTACAGTAGTAAACAACTCAATTTCTCACAGTGGCAGTTAAAGACAACTTTATAATGTGAATTCACAGAAAATAAATTTAAAAAGTAAATTATAAATTACTGTGATGTTAGCATCATTCTGCTGTTCATTCACAGTCATTTGTTAGAAAATGACCCAGCATGCATTGATTTCACTGTAAATTCCTGGCAATTTTTTTTACAGTGGATTACACATTATTAACACAACGGTAGTAAATCATTCTTAATTTATTGAATCTCCCCAATTCTTCTTTTTTCTCTTTTAAATTTTCCTTTCTATACTGTGTGTCATTGCATTTAGCTCTGAATATATTCACAATATAGAATAGCCATGTAAATGTCATGTAAATACATTTGCAAACCATGCTTCTGAATTTGGGTGAAAAAAGCACATCTCATGCAATTAGACCATGTTTGAAACAAATAATTATAAAAGTTACTAAACACTAGTGATAAGTGGGCAGTCGTGGCCTAATTGTTAGAGAGTCGTACTTGTAACCCAAAGTTACGGGTTCGAGTTTCAGGTCCGGCAGGGATTGTCGAGGGGGGGAGGGAATAACGTCTCAGGTTACTTATGTAACCATGGTTCCCTGAGTAGGGAACGAGACACTGCGTCCTCTAGGGGTCGCTATGGGGAACGCCTCGTCGTGACCCGTGTCTGAAGCATACATTGAAAAAACACCAACTCGTTGGCCGGCGACAGCCATGACGTCACTACCGGTGCGACTATAGTATAAATAGGCGCCGGGAGCATCGTCTGAAGCTTGCGTCCGCAGAGGAATAAAAATAGCTAATAGGCTATTTTTGTACAACCTACGTTTGATTTTATTTTTATTCTAAGCGGACAGCGGGTGAACAAACGGTGAATATATAGCGGGAGCGGGTGGGTGCGGAATATAACCTTGCGCACTTCACTCACTCACTTATATCTGTGAAACACTAAGTCTTCATCATATCCAGTGACCTCCAGTAACTGTTGATTCTGGAAGTCTGAACAAAAATTTTTCAAACCTGGAAGACTTTGGTCATTGTTGTTTTCATGTTTATTAATGTTTGCTCGTGTAATGCAGGGAATCACAAACGTTTTTTTTTTTTTAAACGTTTAAATATTTACTTGAAATATCTCTGAGAAAGTTAATATTTCAATAATTTAACAACACATTCGAATGTCTACAGTTCGATGTAGTGTTATTAGTTGTATTTACAGTAGTGTAAATTTATGTGTTCAAGCTGTCGACAGTGTTTTTTTGCACATTATTAGATTGTGTGCTCTTGACAACGAGGGCAAAGCCTTTCAATGTAAGTTGAATTAATAAAGATCAATGAAAAGCAGTGATGTATGCAAATTGCATTGCTTTAAGAATGAAATCAGTTGTGTTCATTTGAAATATAAGAGGGTATAAGAAAAATAGATTTTAGAAATGGAAAATTACATTTTCTAAAGAATAAGTTTGCTTTACCATGCAAATATCGCTACGATTTTCAAACTGTGCACGTTTTACCACACATTTTCAAACTGTGAAAAATTTCTTATGGTGTGTGCACACCAAAAGCTAATTTAATTATTTGCGTGAGTAGATTACATACAAAATAAATGCAAAAACGCGAATAAGAATGCTCAGAAAATGGAGGAGAGCATTATTATGTTTTGATTTGCGTGAGTGACGTGAAAAACATCCCGCGAGAAATCTAAAGCGATGCAAATACTCGCTTCACTTTTGGTGTGCACTCACCATTAGGGATCATCATATTTGGGGGTCCTTTGCATTAAAATGTTTGACACCTATGTTAGCGTATTGTGGGTGGTCACTACTGGAGGTATTCTGAAGGGTTTTTATTATGTTGCTATGCTGTTGTTAGCGTAGTCTTTGTGGTTGCTTACTGGCCTAAGCCAAAAGAGCCCACCCAAAAGTCTCTGTGATATTCTGGTCCCTAGATATGACCCAGGTCCCTCCTTACCATGGGAATGCTTGCCTTAGCAAACACCGCTAACAAACTTGATATAACAAAAATTACATACTTACCCCCTGGAAATCCAATGAGGTCAGTGAAGACAACAGTGACTGAAGACAACATGGATCAAACATTGTCCTGATGCAAATGAAATACTGTACAATGGACTCTAAGCAAGTGTCCTTTAAATTCTAGTCAAGAGAGCAAATGAGATCTAATGAAAGAACTACTCTAAAGAGAACACCTACTCAACTAATCCATTCCACCTTCATCAACACATCACAAGGCTAAAGTTGACCAGGCCAAGAGGAGAGGAGCATTGTTGTGAAGCTCAGGCTAAGGCAAGGACCAAATCTAGGTACATAGATTAGCATGCACAGAGGGGATTATGGACACCTACTCCCATTTCAAAGTCTCCTGTTTTTTTTTTAAGTTTTGGGGGTGGTTGGCTCTAAGCTGAGAAATCGTGAGTCTAAAGGCTAAACTCTCATTTGATTCCTCTGGGATCTCCTCAGCTTAATCCCCAGATCCTGGTCTCATCTTCCCTTGTTATTCGATCGCCCTAAGATCAGTGTCCAACCTGGCTACACACACCCCCTTCATTAATTTCTCTTAAGAAGATTAGCTAGCCCTTGGATGTTATTGTTTGCAAATCTGATTTCCCTGGTGTCATATTATAGTAAACAACAGCATTGCGATGGATGCAACTGACCAGTGGGCGTCTCAACTTATACATGCATATCCTTCATTGAAACACCCTCAAACTTCCTTTTCATGGCTGTCAACACTGACTTGGCTAGATGAACAATGCAAGCTACTAATAAGAAGTGGCAAGAAAAATACTGCAAGAAAATTCAAATGAAAGGATAAATTAATCAGTGAATCGTTTTTTGAACTGGTTCATTTAAATTAACTCTCCAAATAGGCTACTTTCAACACTGCCGAATTTCCTACAATCTCATTCACACATTTTGGTACAACCTACTCACACCCTACGGAGGGTTAGGTTTAGGAGTGGGGTTAGTGGTACAGTTTCAAGTATGATTTATTACAAATTGTAGATTTTCACATTGTATGAATTTGTATGAAACTGCAACCACGTAAAACACTTATGGTTTTTTTTCGTAAGATCAAGTTTACTAGTAAATTTATGTGTTCAAGCTGTCGACAGTGTTTTTTTGCCAGAAAAATATAATTTGATATATAACAATGTTTTAGCCTTTTTTTTTTTTTTTTGCTAATTATTTGTAGTGTACAAACTATATTAGTCAAAAAATATTGAATGTAATTTAACCACAGTTAACTCTTCTTAAAGCACATCTTACTTTGTTACTTTTTTTTTTTTTTTTGCTGAGCAATGTTTAGGTTCATTATGTCTTACAGGTGTTTGTCCAGGTCTGACCTTGATAGATGTGGGGTGGTCCAACGCCTGTCAGCGTGTGTGATCGAGGTCTCTCTCCTCTCAGGGGACCGACACCTGTGTGCTGAGGTGATTCTGAGAGGGATGACATCACTTCCCCTCTGAGCTCATCCAAGTCGTGTTCAGAGAAGGAGCGATCTCTCTTCAGAGGTGTAGGAGAGCTCTCCACCCACCTGATATCCATGCCGTCTGGAGAGTCCTCATCCTTCACCAACAAAATAGAGGCGATAAATACAACTGAAAAATGAAGTCAGGGAGATCTACCGAGCCAGCTTGTAAAACTCTGATTTGAATCAAAAGACATAGTGTAAGCCTTAAAGGAGTCATATGATGCGATTTCAATTTTTCCTTTCTCTTTGGAGTGTTACAAGCTCTTGTTGCATAAAGAAGATCTGTAAAGTTGCAAAGACTAAAGTCTCAAATCCAAAGAAATTCTTTATAAAAGTTAAGAGTCAGCCACGCCTACCTAAAATGGCTCATTCTAACACGCCCCCACATGTCTACGTCACGATGTAACACCAATTGTTACATGCCTCCCCTGTCTAGGGTCAGGGATGGCGGAAACAAGGAAATTTACGAACGAAGCCAGAAGAAAAGAAACAACTTTTCTACCGGCAACCTGGAGGTCTTCTCTCCTGTCCCAGCACTCCACAGAAAACCACACAGACTTTTGTAACAGTCTAGAAAAGTGGTTTATTTAACAAGTTCAAAAAAGTACTAAGCACGGAGCAAATAAAGCTTCGGGAGGGGACCAGGCCAAAACAACAAACATATCTTGTCAGGGTGTAACGTTGCTTTGACGCAGGGCCGCTTTAGATGGCGGCATAATCAGGTGCTGAGGAAGTTGGCGGAGCAGTTGGAAAGATGTAGAGTTCGGGCAAATAGCTCTTCAGATCCCATTCGGCCAAACATCCCGTTCCTCAGACCAGGAGAAGGCAGGCAGAAGACAGTGGTGGGAAGGACAACATGTCTGCTCACTCCTGGAAAGGGATGGAAGATGCGTGTTGACCTGGGCACCCAGCTTATCTTCGCAACAGAGATCACTCAGACAACATTAAGGCCAGATGTTGTGGTGTGGGCCACAGCGACCAAGAAGGTCCTCATTATTGAGCTGACTGTGCCATGGGAAGAGGGAATACCAGCGGCGTACGAGTTCAAGCGGCTCAAGTACTCTGATCTGGCGGCGGAGTGCAGAGAGGGGGGATGGACCGCGACCATCCATCACGTAGAAGTTGGATGCAGGGGCTTCGTGGGAAAGTCTGCAATCCAGCTCCTTCGAGCTGCTGGGACAACTGGGGTAAGCCTGAGGAGAGCCATCAAGGAGCTGGCGGAGGAGGCAGAGAAGGCAAGCTACTGGTTGTGGCTAAGGAGGAGGAACAGGAATTGGGGCTCGGTAGCCCAGTGAGGGCCGCTGCAGGGGGGGGCGGGGGGC